ATGTATATTGGTGTTTTGCCTGCATGTATGTCTGGGTAAAGGTGTCAGAGATTGGAGTTACAATTGTAAACTGCCCTGTTCAGGCAGGGAATTGAACCTGGGTCCTCTGTAATAACATTCAATTCTCTTAACCACTGAGCCATCTCTCTAGCCCCAAAGTTGCTTGTCTTTGAACTAGTTCACATACAGAGAATAGATTTAGAGAGGGAATGTGTTGTTCATTCTCCCTCTAAGCTGAGTTGTGTGTGTTTTACTTTTTTTTTTTTTTTTGATAGGGTCTTGGTGTAGCTCTTGATGCTTGGAACTCAATATGTAGACCAGGCTGCCCTTGAACTCACAGAGATCCACTCACTTCTGTCTCTCAATTGCTGGGATTAAAGGTGTGTGTCACCACACCCAGCCTGTACTTGTTTATTAATTACACTCCTAAGGGAGAATTAAAAAGAGACAGTAGCCCATCAAGCTGCCTCTTGTTCCCAGTAGTTGGTGTGTGTAGCGCATACACATTGTTTCGTGCAGACAGACTGATGGATGGTGAGAGAGAAGAAAAGCGTAGGTGATGTGCTTGGTGCATGGGCAGTTGAGGAAGACTGTAAGAGAACATGTATGAGCTCTAATGAGCATATGCAGATAAGGGCAGGGCAATTTTCACTGAGGGAAGCAACAAAGAAAGACTCAAAACAAGTAAAAAAAAATGTTCCACAAAACCCAGGAGTAGCAATAGCCATCTCCTATAGTGAGAGATGATAGGCTTGATGAACTTGCAAGAGACAGGGGTCTACATAGGAAAGGACAGAAGGACATTGGTTTCCCAGGAGTGGGGATGAGCTAGGGTTTAAAACACATAAGCTCACTTAATTTCTTACCACATCTGTAAGGGGAACACAGAATAGCATTCCCATTTTTTCTGTGCCTAAGTAAGGCTCAGGATAACTAACTTAAGGGAGGGCTTACTATTAATGGTTGAAAGAATTCCTTTACATGGATCTTCTCCAGCATGGCTTGTAAACAAGGCCACTGTGTAGATTCCCTCTCTTTCAGACCTTAAAACACACCTGGAACTATTTGACTAACTTTAAATGAGACAAGCGCCAAGCCAGATTATGTTATACCTTTTTACATTGAACAAAGAAAGAAAAAGGAAATGAAAAACATATCGCCTCTAGAGGGCCCTGGCAATGAATTCAACACAGAAATGGTATCAGTAATACATTTTTCTATGCCGTAAGTTTTTCCATGTGCCACCATCTTTGGTACATATGTGCTGGATGTTTGCCAAGTGAGAAGAATGTTACTGCGCTGGGAAGATTGTCTTGTCTGGAAGCTGTATGAATCATTGAGAGGTAAAGTCAACTCTTGTTTATTTTACCTACCTTCCAGACCTGACCAGTTTTCTTTTTCAGTCTTTTCTTCCCTTTTCTCTCTCCCTCTTTCCTTTTCCTCCCTCTCTTGTATCATTTTGTGTCACTCTTTCAATGAGTATCACAAGTTGTCCTCTAGCAACTGAAAAACAGGAAGAATATACCAGGAAAGCATAATCTTTATTAACTTAAAAAAGGTACTTGTGATATATTCTAAACTCACATCGGTTGAACCGTTTCCTCTAATTTGAAATAGGGTGAAGTGCTTCTCTGGTTAAGTCATCGTTCTTGTGCTGTTTGCTATATAGTTTCAAGAATATATATTTCAAAAACATTGGAAAAAATAATTCCAAACAAATGCGACAGAGCTCTGCATACTTGAAACATATTGTCCAAATTTATCTTAAATCTCTGTGCTGCAGAATGTTTCTGTGTGCATGGATTAGGCCTGGCCGATGATTTCTTCATCTATCACTATCCTGGGTGGATTGTGCCGAGCAGAACAGAATGACTTACATATGGTCCCACTTTGTCGTAGTTTGTAGGGCCTCTGGGTTGGAACTATTTGATCAGAGAAGCCAACCATCACAGAAATTTGGCTAATGTCAAAATCCTACATATGCACATGTACACACAGATCAGGTCAGAATGCATGTATTCCTCCTTGAACTAGTGGTATCCTTCCACGTGTTGATTGCGAGTTATTTCTCTTAAAATATTGATAACATTTTAAAAAACTCCTTCATACCGATTTGATAATGATATTCTGGATAGGAATTATGTTACATTTGTGGTCTGAGGCTGGTGTTGAAAATGTTTCTCAGTTAAAGCTATGAGTACATCCAACATGTTTCTAGAACTGGACTGAGCTAGAAATACCAAAGATTATCTTCAGCTGAAATCTAACTCTTAAATTTGAAGAAGCCCATGGTGAGCTTTCCAGTGTATCCCTTATTCTTGGTATTAGCACTGAAAAGGACAGAGGACTTGTGTGGGCTTTCTCAGGGTAGGTATTCTTGACATCTGAGGTAGGTGACTGTAGTCTGGGCTGAAGGGACCTGCTTCATTTACATGTCAGTGAAGCTTCTGAGGGTGTCTCTCACTTTGGGACCTTTCTCCTTGTTTTGTTCTTTCCCTGTTTCCCTTTTTTCCTTCTATTGCTTCATTGATTTTTTTTTTCATGCCTCCCATTTTCCCTTCCCCCTCTGCTCTTGCTTTTTCGGTCTGTGCAACCACGTGCTCTGTGGATCTGGCCTGCCTTCCCTCTTGGTTCCCTGTGAGTGTTAGCAGAATGAAAGCCAGATGGACCAGCAGTTCCCACTGTTATCTTCCAGCAGACTCTGGCAAGCCTCCCTCCCTCCTTCCTTTCTTGGCATGACAGAAGTATTTGCCTTTATTTAGGGAGACCGTGTTCGCTGCTGTACCTCTTCCCTCAGCTGCAGTATAAGCGGAAAACTATTTATTCCCTTCTTGCTGAGGTTGGTTGAGGGGAGTAGAGGAGCAATGGATTTATTGAAGGAGGAGTTTGAAGCCTGCCTATCTTGTTTATTTTTCTGAAATAAGGGATTACTGGTGCTGGTGGTTGTGTGCCCTGGGATAGCAGTATAAAGACATCGTTTTCCTAGTAAGATAAAGTCTGGAGCAAGTTGGGTTTGTATTGCTGCCAACATGTCCCTTGGGACACTTCTCTTGACCTGGGATTATTCAGTGTTATTAAACCAATGGCAGAGAGGAAGACACAGAGCCTGATACCACTGACTCAATTATGAAGCAAAATACCCTCACTAGGTTGTTTTGTTCTTGTTCTAGTTGGTGTTCATGGTATTATGTCATCATTAAAATGGTATCAACATTATTTCAGCTTTTAGAATGCCCTGTTTTTATTGCATCCTACACCTTATGAAAATGCTTCTTCTTTTTTTTTTTTCGAGACAAGGTATTACTGAGTAGCCCTCATGAGTTTAGACCTCTGTGTGTAGACCAGGATGGCTTCAGATTTAAAGCAATCCCTCTGTCTCTGCCTCTTGAGTGTTGGGATTCCTGGTGTCTGCCACCAGGCCCAGGTAGGAAATTGCTTTTGTTTGTTTGAGGTAAAAGCTTAGTATTTCAAGCTGGCCTTGAACTCCTGATCCTCTTTGCTTTAATTTGCCAAGAGATGAGATTGCAAGCATGTATCATGAGTGCTGCCATAGCAAGTTGCTTTGAAGAAAGATGAACTAGGTTTGGGATTATAATAACAGTAATTTATGATTTCATTGTCATTCAGTAATTGACTTTAAAAATTATTTACTTATTTTACTATTATGTGTGTGTATGTGTACTGTGTGTATATGTGTGTGTGTGAATGTGTGTGAATGTGTTTGTGTGCACACCATGTGTATGCACAAGCCTTAGGATGTCAAAGAGGGTATTGGACTTCTTAGAACTGGAGTTACAGGTGACTGTGAGCAAGTACATAGGTGCTGTAAATTGATCCCAATATGTCCTCTTAACCACTGAGCCATTCAACTCTCTTAATATCTGATTCTTCAGTAAATTTGGGAATTATAATTTAAAAATCCTGCTCTGAATAGTATATTATTTTGCCTTTTTAAAAAGAAAGTACAAGTTTAAGATTTTTGTCTCTAAAGTTTAGAATTACCTCAAGAATGGTTTTGGAATGTCTATCATGTATTTAACATAAAATTGGATCTAAAGCAGTAAATAATAAACCATCTCATTTTCAGTGAGAATCTATTGCTTTGAAAATTATATTAGCCTAAGAAATAGGTGAAAATATCAAGGGAAAAATAAACTTAGAAGCCCCATGTTTACACTGCCATCCATCATTAGAACACTAACAGAAGGAAATTGATGTAGGTTCAAGGCCAGGCTGGCCCACATAGTGAGTTTCCTTGTTAGCCTACACTGCAGAGTGACTCAAACCATCCAGTATACATAGGAGAAAAGGAAAATACTTAGGAGGAGACAACGTGGGCTTATGCATGCGCATCATTAGGTAATAAGGGGTTTGTCCAGGGATGTCCTTTTGATTTTATCAGTTTTTACTTTCATATTCTAAGAATATAAGTTGGAGTATTGCTCTCAGGCTTGTAACTAACAGGACAGGCCACAAATTCGTATATTCTACATAAAGAATAGCTTAACTTTACCATAGATAGAGCATAGAGAATGTGTTTCATTTAATTGACCAGGAAACTAAGCAAGGCGGGGATGGGAGGTCTGGTAGAATTGGGCTGTGACGTGCCTGCTTCTGCCTGGACCTCCTCACTACTTACCTGACACTGGGTTTCAATGACTTCTGAGCCATCAGGGTGGGTTCATTATCATCCTCTTCTTCTGTTTTCTACTGAATGAAGTTGTGTTGATGCACAGAGCAGTACCAAGGTAGCATCTGCCTAAGCCAGAAATAAGAATAGAATATTATACAGCCTGGTTACAAATAAAGTCCCCTGATCTGTGTTACACCTTCTCAAGTGATGTTTGGATGACAAAATCCTGCTTCCAGAGATCAGCATATTTTACTGATAGAAGATGTGGGATTTCTTGTGTTTGTGTGCCTCTGAAAAAGACAGACCCAGCTTTGTGACTCCTGGGTGTTGAAGGAGTGAAATAACATGTTCCTGGTGGCATTCCCAGATCGTACTGAGAAGCACTGCACGATGCCAGACTCACCCGTGGATGTGAAGACGCAGTCTAGGCTGACTCCTCCCGCAATGCCGCCTCCTCCGACCACTCAAGGAGCTCCGAGAACCAGCTCATTTACGCCAACGACATGTAAGTACTCGGTTCGGAACTGAAGTTTTCAGTTTGGAAGGTTAAATTGAAAATTTTCTGCACATAAAAAAAAATCATCAAGGAAAAATAAAATCCTATATCAAGGCTTTGTGCAGAATCAAGCACAAAAACCTTGAAAGTTTGCCAGTAGGTAATGGGTATTAAACCCAAACAAAAGTGTCGTGTTTTAGATATAATTGGTACAACTGTGAATATTTGCCTGCCTTTATATTATTACTTCAACATTGTAATCCGCCACGATTTGAGCAAATGAATAATATTACATTTGCTCCCTTGCTCTAGTTACGCCTATGACTTTTAATTCATGTTAATGTAGAGCTCTTTATTTTGCTTGTTCAATTTCACTTAGAACATAGAAATATGCTATAATTATTTCTAGTTATTTCTACCTTGCTTTATTCCATGACAACTAGCTACAAATAATATTAAAAAAAAAAACACCTGACATTCTGAAGTTTAAAAGGCAGGTGGTTGATGCCACAGTCACCTGTAGAAACCTTTCTGAATTCAGCAGCATGACTTGTTAGGAACCTGCCAGGCTTCTATCAAACCATATTCCGTTTGCACTCTGCCCAGGTCCCATGTTCTGAGTTCTTCCTGAAGCATCCCAGAAAGAAACAGAAAATTCTGACCATCAAGCAACTTCCCCATTCTAGTGGGGGCAATCTGTGGGATGGTTTTAATCAGTCTCACAATTCTGGTTAAAATTGTCATCAAAGCTTTGTGATGCTAAGAAATATTTATCTGTTATAGACGATACTCTTAATGGACCATGTGCCATGAAACCATATGAATGAAAACTATCTGAGAGGCAAAAATAGATCCATGAGTCGCTAAAGATAGACATCCTAAGCGTTCATGCACAACTGCCCTGCCATTTAAAAGCTCTTGCCAAATGTGTACAGGGCAGAAGGCTGTGACATGCCAAGTTGTAACCTGTCATCAAATGGTTTGTTATCCAAAGTAATGGTGACAGGCATATGTCTCCTCTGAGAAGTCCTCCTGAGCTAGCATTGATAGATTGCTTTGTTCCTCATTGAGATGAAAAAACATTTAATTCTGTTTTCCTTTTGCTTTTAAGGCAGGGTCTCACTGTGTAGCCCACGCTGGCCTCAGACTAGCTATCTGTAGTTAAAGATAACATTAAACTCCTTATGCTCTTGCCTACATCTTCCCAGTGCTGGATGGCAGGCATGTGGCACACCACACCGTGACTCCAATGCCAGTTCTTATAGACCCATCATCCTTGGTGTTCAAATAAGTTACATTAGAAAGCAATTTAGTAAATTACTACCAATCCATGCTCTGGGTTAAATTGAGTTGTCCCCTTTCAATGTCTTAAAATAACTCCTTAGTAATCTCGCAATCCATTTTGTCTTCCTATCTTTCTTTGTAAAACTCATGTTCCCCCACTCCCCACATAAATGGTTAAGAAATAAGTGGGAAAGAAAATAGCCTTCTAATTGGGTGGTGTAAGGTTAAAACTTGAAAGTCCTCTTTCCCATAAACACAGCTGTCAGTTGTGTGTACAAAACATGATTAAAAATGTTCAGTGATAAATTTAGTCCCCACCAAATGTACACTTTCTCTAGGGGAGCCATCCTGTTATATTGATGTAAGCCGGTGACAAAAGGCTGACATCCAAAGCTGTTTGTGCTCTGTTTGAAGCGTTTCAGGTGGTTGGCATATGTGGACATGGGAGGCAGGGCTGGCTCGGTGCAGCAGCAGCAGGCTCCGTTTATTATCAGCTTCTGTGCTGCAGGCTGCCCCTCACTGTAAGGAAGAGACTTAGTGGTGATAGAGAACCCGAGTCCGGTGACGCTGTGATGTCCAAGCATTTTGCAGAATGTCCCAGTATTTTTGAAATTACACAAGCACAGGATTTCCAGGCAAGGACTCTTAGTGGCAGCTCCTTTATGCATTCTCTTTGTAAACTTATTTACTTTTTCCTTCTGATTTTGTGCCCTTGACAGTAACAAATGGCACCAGCCATTCACCCACGGCCTTGAATGGCGCCCCCTCACCGCCTAATGGCTTTAGCAACGGGCCTTCCTCTTCCTCTTCCTCTTCTCTGGCTAATCAACAGCTGCCCCCAGCCTGTGGTGCTAGGCAACTCAGCAAGCTGAAACGATTTCTTACTACCCTGCAGCAGTTTGGCAATGACATTTCACCAGAGATTGGAGAAAGAGTTCGCACCCTTGTACTAGGACTGGTGGTAAGCAATCAGAAATCAGTTTTCTGGGATAAGAGGCAGGGCGTGGGTTGGGGTGGGGTAAGTAGGGCACAGAAAATAGATGCTCCAACCCCACAGCAATTTCTATATCTTAGCTTCTGTGCAAATCTGTTTGGTTATACTGTAATATATTTTCAGTTCTACATTATGAATCGACCCTACCATAGTCAATTTTACTGTTTTACTGATAACAGTATAGGGATGCAAGTGAATTGTTGGCTTGGCCATAGGTGCTTGTATGTGTATACATATATGTGTATGTATGTGTTTATATGCGTATATGTTACATGAATATGGATACAGATATGTATATATGCACATGTTTACATATACACATGTGTGTAGGATTCTTTTAATAAGCAGAGTCTCCTGGCATAGTTCAGAGCTTTCTAAAATAATAGTGTATTTTTGTTGTTAATGAGTCAGTCATTATCTGAGTGCTCATTTTAATGTTCATGCTTTAGGATTTTTGCTATTGGCCTAGATGAAAAAAAGTTCATAACAAGTAATACATACTTCTTTTGTGTAGTTTTATTCTTAAGGCTAATGGCATTAAAGATGTTCTTGTAAAATATACATAACGTTTACCATAGTTACCGTTTTTAACTGTACAGTTCATTGGGATTACAAATACAGCCACATAGTACAGTTGTTGCCACTAATACATCTCCAGATCCAGAATTCTCTGTGTGTGTGTGGAGAGAGAGAGAGAGAGAAAGAGAGAAGAGAGAGACTCTGAGAGCACTCATGTGTGTATGTGGTGGTGGGGGGGCTGGGGATTGAACCTAGGGCCCCACACATGCCAATCAAGGTTTGTTTCTGAGCTATATCCTCAACCTTCTGGAGTTATTTCATTTTTTTTTAGCCTTAAATCTGTGCTTATCAGACAGACAGACATTTGGAAATGAATATTCGCATATTCTATTGTATTCTGTACATTATCAAACTAGAAATGAGAGCACATATCTTCTTTTAACCCTTTACCCTCAAGTTACTTCTATATTAATTGTGATTTTTTTTTTACACAAATAAGTTATTCCCTAGTTTTTAAGAGGGTTGTGTGTCCCAGTCCTGAGTCATGGCAGTGATGAGTCTCCAAGAGTTCTCTCATCTATGCTTTAGTGGATCTGAGGTCTGATCATTTATTTTCATTATTTGGAGTGACCATGAACAAAACAGGACCAGAACATGGGCCTTGGATCACCACTGCCTATATTTAATAGCTTTTGCATTCAAAGAAAGAAGAATGTGTTTCCCAGCTTGCCAGGTGCTCTGTTTCCCAAAACAGAGGTGGCAGTGGGCAGAGGTGTGCCATTGTACTTAAGATCCTAGGTCGTTATTTAGCTTTTTCTTTGTATTTATTACCTACCTATCTAGGTTCTCTCTCTCTTCCCCTCCCCTCTCTCTCTTTCTCTGAGATAGGGTCTCACTTTGTAGCATTGGTTGTTCTAGAACTCACTGTATAGACCAGTCTGGCCTTGAACTCAGAGATCTGACTGCCTCTTCCTCCCATGTACTGGGATTAATAGCGTAAGGAACATGCCTGGGTCTTTATACGTATGTTTAAATTTGTGCACTATGTAGACCTTTCAACATGTAAACAAGCGAAGGAATCAAAAGTAAATCCACAGTAATAACTATATCAAATAAGCGATGAATTTGCTATTAGTTCAAAAAATGTGTTTTGAATTGGGTGTGGTGATGTCTAACTGAAATGCTAGCATTTCAAAAGCTGAAACAGAATGATTGAGAGCTGGGGAGGTAATCTGGAGTATGTAGTGAGAACTTGTCCCTACCCGACTCCCCAAATTTTCCCAATGTAAAGTTTAATACTTTTTAAAATTAAAAGTGTCTTCCAAATTTAAAACATAGAAAATCTCAATAGCCTTGATAGAGTTTTCTACTTACTGAATGACAAATGTTTCCAGTGAAATGAGGTTTTTAAAAATGTAGCTTCCCTAACATCCTTATAAAGAAGTAGAAAATGGCTATTAGGTGCATATACAATATAAATGTGACTTATTTATTCATTTATTTATTTATTTATTTATTTATTTATTTATTTATTTATTTATTTGAGATAGGATCTCATTAGTAGTACTGGCTGTGTCCTATAACTTGATATGTAGGCCAGGCTGGCTTTGAGCTCATAGAGCTATTCCTGTCTTTGCTTCCCAAGTGCTGAGATTAAGGGCACACATCCCCATACCTAGCCTAGAAGTGACTACTTGTTAATCGAATAGAGATGCAACTTTTGTTTTTTGAGAAAAGGGTTCGGGATTTGGTCTTGGCTGGCCTAGAGTTTACAATGTAAAACTGTAGGACCTGGCTTGAACTCTCTACTCTGTGCGCCAGTGTCCTAAGTGCTAGGAAAAGAGGATCACAGATGTGGGTCACCTTGTCCCTACTTAGACTTGGAATCATTGATTAATTCTTGGGGCAAACTTTCAAAGGAGAAATTTTTGTGCATATTTTCTGCACAGAGAAACTGAGTTACGTAGTTAATCACTAAAATAAATGACACCACCCAGGTTCTGTGGGCACACCTGTGGTTTGCACGTTGGCAGTAAATCATAATGAAATAAATTGTGGAATTAGGAATTAATGG